AGAAGGAAATTTGGATAAGTCTAAGAAACAACCCAAACAAAGATTTTTTCGGTTATTATCAGGTGGCAGGTGGTTCGATTAATTCTGGAGAATCATTTAATGATTGTGTTAGACGTGAAGTTCTCAAAGAGACCAATATATTCTTAGAAGAATGCGATTTTATTACGTTTGATAAAGGAATCTGGGTGTTTTCTAATAAGGGTAACCGTTTATTTAAAACCGCAATTTACTTTGGTATTACCGATAAGATTCCTACACAAACGGAATCTGATAACAATGGCCCGTGGGAAAAATACACTTTCACTCAGTTCAAGAATATGAAAGTCACGGATTCTTTATATCTCAAGGAAAATATTATTATTGAATCGATTTTAAACAAATTCAAGTTACGTCATTATACTAAAAAACGTAAGATTAAAGAATCTGCAGTATCTTCTCCTTCACCTGTTCCTGAAAATATTGAATATTCTGAGAATATTGAGGAAGAAGGCACTTTAGAAAATTAAACCACTTATTATTAGTTTATTTTTTATTTTTTTATCAATGTATTTACGAGTTATAAATAAATCAATCTAACTAGTCTATGACCGGTTAGATTTTTAATTACGTAATTCTGAAATGGCCGATAAGAAGGTAAGTTTCACTTAATATTCATATTTGTGTATGCTGCTTTATATTGTATTAGGAATTTATTCTGGGAAGAAAATTATGAATTTTCTCGAGGATAATTTTCAATTTTGTTAGAAACGCGAACGTGTAGATGCCGCAACCCATGGAGTGAAAAATATGTTTTATTAATTATTTTTATTATTACAGATAACAAATTGGTCAAAAGGACACGCTTTCGAAGATGCTCTTCGTAAATTATTTAATGATAATAGAATAATTGCTCACATAATTCAAGTCTCTGAAGGAGATGGAGAATTAGATTTATTACTTTCGTACCAAGGTAATCAAATCTGTGTACAGTCTAAAGATAGAGAAAATGCTCTTACATTATCCATGATCAAAGACTTTGAAGCTACGATGATTCATTTTAAAAGTTCATTAGGAATTTTGGTTTATAATAGTGAGATGATGAAAACAGAAAAATATTTGACCAAACAAGCTAAACTTTGGTTAGACAATTCAACTCAAGAATTAATTGTTTGTAACGAAAAACAAGTTGTTGAGAAAATTAAGAATTTTTTCAAAAATGAAAAAGATTCGATAGAAGAATTAATTTTAACTGATTTTAAAGCGGATAAATTTTCTTTAATGGGAATTATTTCTGAAAATGTGTATATTAGAAAGATGATAGTAAAAAAAAACAATAATCGATTTTTTCTTTACTAAACTAGTTATTTTTATTATCTGTTTAGTTTAAACTGAACAGATTTTTCTCAGAGTATTTCCTTCTAATAAATTTATTACTGTTTAAAATATATCAAACTATTTTTCTATATTTATTACTTTCATTTATCTTTTTCTTTTTGGTTTTGATTAAGACTACAAAGAAAACAAAGATAATTGTATTTACTGGAACTATTGGTGTTGGCAAGACTACTTGCGCTAAATTATTCGAAGCTTTCCTTAAAACAAAAGGATTTACCATAAATCATCACAAAGAACTTTCACTACAAGTTATCGAAGAATTTCATATATTCAAAAAAGACAAACCAAAGAATTTTCTTTTTTTCCAATACATTTTGTTACATCACTTTAAACAACAAATTTACGAAATTAAAAAGAATAATTTTAGTTTTTTATGGTTTCTATGGAAGGTTGATTATATTATTCTCGATCGTACTCAGAAGGATATGAAGATATTCAATAAAATTTTCCAAGATCCGAGCGAGAAAGAATATATCGACAAAAAAGTTAATGCGATCGAACCACTTAACTTCTATAAGGTTGTTTTTGTGACTGTTCTAATCAAAATGTCTATTGAACGGCAGCAAAAGAGAGCTCGTTTAGGTGAATTGGTCGATAGAGAGTATTTGGAAATACTTAATGCTTATTACCTTGAAGATATTGATTTGGTATATCCCAAGAATTTAAATTTTGAAAATATTGTTAATCTCTGTGGTGATGATTGCGCACAATGTCTCGGTGTTAAGATCTATGAGAATTTCTTTAATACTCTTTTATAGCAATTTTATTTTTTATTTATTTTTATATTATTTATTATTAAATTACTCAA